TGGATTTAAATATTCTCTAAGCCATGGAAACCTGTTCTCCGGGAGCCAACAGTCACTGACACGTTTATTAACTCCGTCAGGCTTCCAACGTTGGACATTTTACTACTTCTAACACGAAGAAGGGCTTTTACACGCTTCAGGTAGCAAGTATATTATAATGATGGTGCTTCTATGAAATATGTTATTTTTACTTTTACTAATAATACAATTGTGTTACAAAGAAACTCTTCAAATTCAATTCCTTTATACATATTTTACTACTCTACTGTACTAATCTTGGAATTTCCAATTAAATTGAGTTGTAAAAACATAACATGCGATTAACATGCGATTTAAGATCAAGAGATTCAGTGAATAGTTCAGATACAGATGTTATTTTCTAGATTTCATAGTGGAGCTTAAATATAAAGCCAATAGCAATCATTTAAAACCGTTACTAATAATGTAAGTGCTTACTTTTATGAGATTTTAAAAATTTAAATTAAATAAGACCAGTATAAAAATATTGTTGCATACAGCTTATAGTTAAGGTACAAATAATACAAAATTGCTTTTTTACTTGACACACACTTAACATTAAAACATTTGCGAAATACTGAAAAATACCCACTCCAATAATAGAAAACAAAGTGATAAGTTAACAATATATACAGCTTGTAATTTCTCAACAAAATTGATAAATGCAAAACAATTTGTCCATATGATATTGCGTAAAAGATTGTTTCTAGTGTAAATATTTAGTGCATTCAAGAATTTCGCACTTTTATTGCTAACAATTAGAGCAATCACTGTAAAGAATAAGATCCGGTATATACTACAAAAGAAAAATCGATAAAAGAAACTTTACATTAATTTTATTTATTCTTATGTTTTATATTTTATGTGGCAAGCTATCCTCATTATCATTCTCATTTTCTTAATCTCGAAAATTATTAACAAGTCATTAGCGCCACGTTTATCTACTAATCACTATACCACAGTATTTTCGAATTGGTCATCAAATTCGCATTAAGTATTTCTGGTGCTGAGATCAATATATATTTTCGATTAAATGTATTTTCTTTCATATTTCTCCTTATCGTCTTTATCTTGTATGTATTAGATAGAATCTAATAAAATAGTTTTTTTTCTAGAACATAGATAGGTGATGTCTCATTGCAAATAAATTTTTAATTCTGTACTTAAGATCTCAATATAAGATTACATAATTATTAAATGATCAAAACATGGCAGTTTTAATTTCAAATTAACAATTTGCCCAGCGTTGACTTTATACATTGTACAACCACTTGTATTCTTGCAAACAAGGATCATGAATTTTGACAATTTGAGGTTCGGTCATTATCACAAGCTGAATTTCATTATTTTTCAAAGTACATTTCTTAAGTTCATTCTTCATGTGAAAGCTATTGTTTGCATCAAGTAGATGTAAAGCTTTAGTAATGCCTTGTTTCTTTTCTTGGAAAGATTTCCCTTTAGCTTTACATTACTTTTCTTCTAGTTAAAAACCATCACGTCTTTTACGTTTTTTTAAACTTTGTCTAGGTCTTGTGATGTAATTTAATTATGGTGATGTAATCCCCATTAATTTCCATGATAACAATAAAACGATTTTCCATAAAACATTTTAAAACAAATTTGCATTTTACCAACTAAAAATAAAGTTGTAAAAAATAAAATACTGAGTTTCAGAAAATACTTATTTGAGAATTAATTAATTCTCATATACAGAATTATTCTTCTATCACTTCCCTTGTAAACCACTACTTACTGTTTATAAACATGTACTTGAGTAAGAGTGTTGAACACAAAAACAAAAAAATAAATATATGGTGTTCCATTGAAAAAGTGACCACAACGGATATTACTGGGTATTCTGCTGAAAAACATATATAGATATATGAAATCATCCCACGAACTTAACGTGTTATATTGTTGCAAAAAGTGTCTGCAAAAACCTTCTCTTTCGCGAACCTTGAGTTTTAATACGATGTTGGTGCTAACTACCAAAATCCTAAATCATTCGAAATTCTTTGAATTGTTGACAAAACGATGTCCGCATCAAAGCTGAAACAAATTTTACAATCCCAACTGAAAATTTTTTTAGGATTTCATATGAGTAATTCACAAGCCCTTGATATCTTACGAATAAGAGGGATGAATAATAATAATAATAATAATTAATAAATGATTTTATTTTTTTTTTTCACTAGTAATACAAAATAAAAACAATGCTTGTAAACTTAAAGAAAAAAAGAAACAAAAATACAAAAGTGAAAAAAAAATGGCGAAGTTCAGTCTTAAACCGCTTTTCAACTTAACCATGAGAGAGAGAAAAGAAATTTATTATGGGAAACAAAAGTAAATTAATAAACGACTTTACAAACTAGAATTAACTGAAGCGTGTACATCAAAAATAGTAAATAAATAAATAATAATAATCCGTAAGAATGACAACAACGTAGATAAAAACAAAGACAAGAACAAACACAGAGAGCTCTCAACCTGCATCACATAACAATGCAAAGTGAGTTCTGAGACAATGATTTTCTGATGTCCAATGAAATATTATTAAATATTTTAGTAACTAAAGCATTTTAAAAAAAATTGAAGGATGTGTACTGGAGGAGTCAGTGTACCTCTAAATCTTATATTCAATGTATGGACATCGGCTCGAAATCGAATCCTGTTATAAAGGTAATACAATCATTAATATCAACATCATATCAACACGCGAGCTCAACGATGAGGACGGTTTTAGAACAGTTGATGCTGTCACTTTTTTTGAAGAGACATAGATTCATTCCAGTTTAAAACCTTGTCAAATATTTTAGAAACCTGAGTAATGGTTTTTCAAAATAAACATGCATTTTGCCTATCAGAAACTATAAAAACCTCTTCATTATTGGTTATATATAAAAAATCTATAGTTACAGTAGTAGTTCAAGTCTTTGAAAATATACTGATTCACTTAAAGAACGACGAAAATTAAGTAGAAATCTTTCACTGTTGTTATTGTTTCTCCAAAGCGTGAGTTAGCCATATTTTGCTGTAGCTGCTGGTGAGCTACAGCAAAATATCGCGTTTATAGACTTAATTATTTTCTGTCTTTTTGGTATTCTGTCCAATTCTCCAGCGACTGCAGTACCGACTCAGTCATCACGTACCACTTTAGTTCCGACACGTACAGCGTAAGTTTCCTAAATTCGGTCACAATGCCCGTATCACTTGCAAATTGAAAAAGTTTTGCCTCGGTTTTCGCAAAGGTTACCTGGGGAGAACCCTGTTGTCGATTTACTTTAATTCTTCTTATGCTGAAAACTGTTTTTAGAAATCACTGTTTTTATCAACATTTCTTCCATGTTATTAAAATTATTGACATCTAACACATTCACAGAATTCAAGTTAATTCTTCGGGAGTAGGCCTTGCTCTTCAGCTTTGTGTGATGTTTAACAGACTACTTATCATATGATTCCCGGTTACAGGCTATGATAATTTCCCTTGATTTTAAAATTTTTAGCACCATCGTCGTTTTAATACCACTTCGAAAACAACTTTCATTTCATTATTCCATCAACTATCTTCATGATTTATAATCTTCCATTCTGAAGGCATCGCTTTTTACGTTAGCCTTCACCACAGATCATTTTCTCATATTTTCTTGGATTTCTCTATCTTTAATGCCTTATCTATAAATTGACTTTATGAAATGTATAACGCAGACTGCTATAGCTTAAGATGTTACAGTCTGTAAATTCAAATAATTCTGCAGACTTCTTAATAATTCCGTTAGTGGTTCAAATCTGAAAATGTGCTAAAACTATCGAGAAAACCAGAAAAGTTTTCAGTATCATTTAGGGCAACGTTTGGTCTTCAATCTCTCCTTTGAACATAGGAGCATCTATTTGCTGAGTTTTTAGAACCATTTTCTGGCAGATGTTTGGTGAGATCTAGCTGGCGAAGTTCTTGTCAGCCGGCATTCAAAAGATGAATATCTAATAAAATTTTAATTTTATAGCTTCAAAAACTCTTCTTAATTTTCCAAAATCTTGTTGAAACAACTCCCTTCTTCTGAACTTCCTCTTGAACCTCGCAGAATTGGGGAAAGGCGAATACAAATTCGCAATTTACGTCTGGCTTTTCTCGCAATTGGATGATATTTCAAAAGTAGTTTTGTTTTGAAATAGCTTACTCAACAATCCTTCGCGGTATAATTGACATTACAAAAGAAAACTAACCTTACCTAATATTCCTTCACGGTATAAGAGAAGTAAGAAAAGTTTTATCTCTGAATATATAATAACCAATAATTAATTATAACCACATCTACTTTTTGTGTTACATTCATAATGTGCTACTCTTTAAATATTGTAAGAACTCCCGAAGATTTGTTCTGTTTTCAGATTCCAAAGATGTTATTTACATATCTGTTCACCTTAGCGATTTTCTCGAATAGCTCCAGATAGAATTGATTTTCGTCCCCCTATTCGATTATTCTGTCAATTTTGTCTACTATCAATAATAAAAAAGCAAATTACCTCAGTGAAAAGAGGCAGGATTTTACAGACTCGTGCAATTGTGGAAAGATCGAACGTTGCATAATAGAACATGAAAGAGATTAGGAAGAGATCAAATTAGGAGATGAAGATAAAATGAAACGAAATAAGACACGGAAACTGTTCTTATATCATTTTTAATTATTTTTTGGCGATGTGGCATTTAATTGTAAATTTGATTGATCGAATAGTTTTTGAAATAAAAAAAAATTTAATTTAATAACAACAGTTGTATGTTATCATTATCATAGATAGAGAGGAGTTTAGATATACAGAATCTAATTCTAACAAGACGTGACAGATGTCAATCAAAACTCCAATTAAAATAAAGTAGCTCCTAAACAAAACATAAACTTTAATTTCTTTAACCTACTAAAAATAATTAAGTTGAGTCGTTTAAAGTGTTATTTGAGATATTTTAATTTTTTTTCTCTTCATTTCAGAAATCACTTCCACGCCTATACTTTTACAACGTCATGAATTAAATTCCAAGAAAGGTAAGACATTTAACTTGATATTATAAACTTGACGTTAAACAATTCAAAACATAGTTTATTAAAATATTACAAGATTCTAAAAGTGTTTATCAATTAACCTCATCTGTATTTTACTTATAAATTAGTCAGCATGACTTAACCTAGCAAGAATTACCTACTTCTACTCTTGGTAAATGTGTAACTTTATCCATTTAACATTTATATATTTTTTTCGAGCTGTAAATTCCATTGTAAATGGCGAAACCATATAAAGAAACATGACTATTATATTGTTAAACATTCCTGATAAAAAAATACATATCTTAGGCATATATGTGTAAGTTAATCAGTACAGGAAACAATTTATTCTAAACGGGAACGCAGGAAGGTATCTGTCAATTATCTTGATAGATAGGAAGTTTTGAAAGTAATTGCACGTAAGGCACAAATTGGCACATACATCTATAAATCACTGGTGACTGCTCCTTTAAAAACCGCGGCATTTCCCAACGAACCTTGAACAGAATAAGATTTGCACTTGACGTTTTGTTCTCAGCATTGTCACAATTCACCGGATAACAAAGTCGTGGAGGCACAATTAAATGGAATGTATGTCATTAGATGGTGAACCCTATGAAAGCTGCGCTTGTCCTTGTGCTGGGTATGGAACATGAGAGTGTCGACTCATGGAACTCAATCCAACAAGGAATTTCATTGAGTTCATTAGCGCATTACGTCTTAGTTACATATAATAAATTAACATGACACGTATTTACCGTTACAATAACAATAAAGTTATGTTGTTAGTATAAATTTTATAAAAATAATTTACTTTTATATATTATTAAAGTTAAACGTGTTCAAACTATCTAGAATGTTTACAAACAAATTCCCGCTTAATTTTTACGCGTTTTCAACAGTAAACAACAATTAACTTACTTTTCATTCCCTTACAATTCGTAATAAACGAGGGCAATGTTACAAAAACTGTGTGACACAATACACAGCAAACAATGGAAAGGTAATTAAATTATGACTACTCCAGCAAAGCATTCTGAAACTGTAGTACATGAAACAAAGAAATTTCTAGAAAAACTGTTTAAGCAATTTTAACTGTAAACTTTAACAATCACATTTAATATTTATTTCTATTCTATAATATTACTTTATAGAAATTATACAAGGCTATTACACAAAGTGTGAGCCATAAGTTATTATAAATACGCAATTGTTACTGGATATTACATTAAAATAATTACTATGGCGGATACTGAATAGAAATTATTGCAACAACTAGAACATTCATATTGTAAACATTGAAACGCTTCCAATAATTAATTTCCAACGTTAAAATTTATTCTATACATTAACTAAATTGATTAATCGTGGAAGGGTCTCGGAAAATTAATTTAAACTAGTACATAATTCAGTTAACACATATTTTTTTGGTTTCAAATTCGATTTTCGATGCGAAATGTAACATTTAATCGAAACACTACGCAATAGTAATAATAATACAGACGTATATGGTAATGACCCAAAATCAATAAACGGACTTTATCGGCGTCCAGTAGAGGGTAATACGGCGCAAAATTGTACACACGGCTGCCAATCGATCAGTAATAAAATGCACTCGGATCGGTCGGGCACTTGCTTCGCCCGGAAACAGGGCTATCAACTATCGAACGCTCGAACTGCGTTTCATATTTATCGCTTTCCATATTTCCAATGGTTAAATTCGGACGATGATAACCTGCGCGGTCGTCTGTAATAATCTTTTGGCACGTTAACGGCAATTTCTCCAATTAAAATAATCGCTCGGGCGCATAGCTATTGTTAAAATTACGACCTATCATTGCGATTGAAACTTCTATTAACTCTTTGTTTTATATTATTCAAATATATTTATTAAATTATTATTAATTATAATATTTAAGTATCTCATTACAAATCTTAAAAGTTACAAACACAAGTAAAATATCAACAAATATTTTAAATTGCTTTGAATTTGATGAACATCAACGCCCTCGATGTTCATCGATTTTTGAGAGAACGATTCTCAACGTAATTTGATGCGCTGAATCCGAACCTTCTGGGTTTTGAATTTTTTTAAATGTTTTAAACCGACACTATGCTAAAAAGTAATGATGAATTTGGAAGAAATGATGATAATTTTATTAAATGTTCAATAAAAGAACATTTAGAGTGCCATGCATGTTGAGTTTAAGTTGGGTTGGGTTGGCACTAGACATCACTTCAATTGTGTTCAAAACGTTGTGATTGTTTTTAGAAATTGGTAAAAATGCAGAGCCAGATTTGCAAAGTGTATTCAAAATGTTTTTATTACGTTTGCGGAAAATAATAACAATTGCACTAAAAGACGCGTATTGGCATTGCTTTGGTTTTTCTATATCAGACAATGATAAGCCGTCGGCGACCAAGTTATTTTGTAATACGTGCAGAACAGAGCTGTACAAGTGGTCGCTTGCTGAAAAAGTGTAGGGGGAAGTCCCCTAGAAAATAAAATAAAAACTATTTCGACAAATGTAAGTTTATTTATGAATTAACTACGTAAAGAAAGTTTAAAATCGAAATGAATGAACAATAATGCAACTTTTGCGTAAGCATACTTAGAACCATATGTTAAACTTTGGTAACAAAATCTGCAATCAGTGCAAGCGGCACTTAATACCGAACATTTTCAAAACATCCTGCATCTATCGCATATATAGCTCTCTGAACACTCACGAATGTCTGCACATTCTTCATGAGCCCACCCTCTACCGCTGGAGCACTGTATCCAGTCTTCGTTGTGATCCTCTAAGCACACTACGCAAATAGTTCTTCCAATGTCAGATAGTTCAGTTAACGGTTCCTTCTTTGCTTTTCCACTTTTTCCTTTGACTTTTATTCCTTTGGTTTGTTTCCCCTTCTCGCCTATTGCTGCTTTAAACTTTTTTCCCAATCTTTTCTATTATGAGTGTCTTTGGATTCTTCTGACACCAAATTGTTAGACAATTCTGCATCGCAGAAAGTTGATGAGCTACCAGCAAAGGCCAAATCAGTGGAATACACGAAAACTTCCCCGGTACAACCTGGTGTGTTTGAAGAAGTTCCTAGCTCTTCTAGTGGAATATTGGTCACGTCGTCAGGCAAATAATTCAGGTCAGAAAATATATGTCTGTCGAATGGGTGAATTCCTGTACATTTGAACCCAGAGATCGCAATATCTACTCGAGCTACTTTTGTGAACGATTCATTGAACAGACCAGCAATATCGTAGTCGGTTATCTGAGATCCAGCATTTGCTCTGATCCACATCTCGCATCGTTGGTTGTAGGTAGTCTTAAATGGCTTCATGAATGTTCTGTCTGGTGATTGTAGTGTATGACTAGAGTGTGGTGGTATGATTATCAAATAAATGTTGTTTTCTCGGCAAAAATTGATGACCGCCAGTGTCTTATGGCTATAATGGCCATCCAACAGGACCAGTATAGGGCTCTCCATTAGCTGCAACCATTATAGGAAAAAATCATTATTTATCCAGCCTTTTGGCTGAGCCACGCCTACGCTTTCGGCTGGTGCATTAATCATGACCCGTCATTCATTCATTCAGACAAAAAATGTTTCTTAAATCCCACGGCTCGCATCATGCTCGTCGACTCAGGTGTTCTCAGCGATATATCGTGTAAATGCTGCTCTGCTACACATAGGAAATAAAAAACCATTCATTCCAGTTATTCATGCGTCGTGGCCTAGATAAAATACAATGAGCATCAATGAAAAATTTGTGGAGATCTAAAGGTTTGAAAGTAAACTAACTTTAATTTAAGCATGAATAAATTTACATATTTTTGTAACTAAGGTGATTGAACTCTTGTTTAGGATGCAATCTTGATTTATTAAATTTTGCTGTTTTTTGTGTATGTGGGATAACCCTGAAATTGAACATCATTATGTGAGAGAAAATTGGCCAACTCCTTGTTGTTATCAGCGAGGAAAACAAAACTGTACCCGTTGTAAATCCACAAAACATTCACATCAAGTTTGGCCTTATTAAGAACTTCGTCAAAGCGCTCAATCGTGAAGGTGTGGCTTTTTAGTACTTAAATTATTATACACAAAAATCAACGAAGGAATATTTGTCGGACTTGATATTCGAAAATTAATGGCTGACGGACACTTTACAAAATGTTTAACGCCCGATGTAAAACCAAATCTACGGATTTTATCATTATTATTTACAAATTCGCAATTTGTTGCAAAATTACCATAAAATTAGAGCTTGAATGTCTCACAAGCATCATTTGCTGCATTCCTATCTCAAGTTTACAATAAAAAATACAAACAATACAGTTCAACATCTGTTCATTTTTGATTTATCACTATTATTAAATAAAATAAAAAAAGCACAAATTCACTAATAAGTGATAATAGACTATACTATGATATATAATAGCTGTAATCATTACATATATTATTACTAGACATGGATGTAGCCCTGTTAGCTTTTGCACAAAAAATCCCATTTTTATAACCAAAATATCCAAAGGTGAAAGATGATCACATGATGACTACTATACTCGAACTATGATATGGTTATGTATGCGAATAAACTGCAAATGATTGTTGTCTTAATAGTCAGCAAAACCAATGCCAGCAATGGTATTGGTCTCGATTAATGCGATCTCGTCATCTAAAATTGGACCTCTCAGATAAAATTTTTATTCCCGGGTCATAAAATTTTAACATCTCATAGTATAGTGGGCCGCGCTACAGTTTCTCAGCTACCCAATTACCTCGTGAAAACGTTTTACCACTTCGGTCGCTATCAACGTCAAATCGATCCATTTGAACGATTCAAATCGTTCGCTGCATATAGCCCCAAGTATACGAAATGAATTAAAAAGAATGTGACAAGTCAAGCTTATGTCCATGATTTTTGTTAATTTTAACTTTCCGTCCATGCATAATTTCTGCATTGCATTTATATGGAATCAACCTTCACAACGTGATCACAC